AAACAAAAAAAAAAAAAGAAAAGGGCACGGACGGGTGAGGGGTTTGCACGAGCCGTGACAATGACCCTATGGACTGAAGTTACAAAAAGGAAGACACCGACCTAAGCACCCGCTCCCCCCTGCCCCATGACGGCCGGCCGGCTGGTGGCGAGCGCCCACAGGCCAAAGTCTTGTGAGCGGTCCATGACCAGTGCAGCTGGTGGTTGTTGCTTCACCTTGCAGAGGCTAGGTCACGTGGCTGGGAGGTTTAAGAGTGAGGGTTTGTTGTGGGGCACCTGGACTGCCCACCCCCCTGGGGCCCCTGGTACCAGCTGCTGCTTTCCTTGAGTTCCCCCCCAGCACCCCCCCCCTGCCCAGGAGAAGGGGGTGGAGAAGACCCAGGCAGGGAGACCCCGATGGTGAGTCTGGGCAGGATTTGGGGCCCACCCAGGGCTGGTCCCGCCACCTGTCTGGTTCAGCCACCTGTGCTGGAAGAAGCTCTCAAGTGCCCGGCAGACCCCATAGCGCTCGGGAGGCGTGAGTAGGTGCTCCAGCTGCTGGCTGAAAGTCCTCCCCTGAACCCGGATGCTGGAGGGTAGGATCTCTGCCACCCACTGCAGGGAGGTGAGCGCCGAGGACGGGTTGGGGGAATCCAAAGAATCGGAGTCTGTCGGGGACCACGGGCAGGAGAGGCACAGGTGACCCAGCATCCCCAGGTTGGATGTCGTGTCCCTGGCAGCTGGGGGGAGTGCCGGGCACTGGGAGCCACACCTGCTGCCAGAAGCTGGGGACAGGGATGCCGGGACAGCCCCTGGCAGGGTCCCTGAGGCTGCCCCACTGGAATCTACGGCACCACGTGGGGAGGGAAGCTGCAGGCTTAGGGGGAAAGGCAGAGTCCTGTGCAGACTCATAAATCCCACACACGGAGCCCTGGCAGGGTGTCTGTGAGCCGTGAAGCCTAGTGGTAGTGGGTGTCTCACCGCTGGCAAACGGGACAAGCCCCTCCTCCACCACCAGCGTGGGCACCGCGCCACTGCCTTGAAGCATGGACACCACCTTGTCATGGGAGCAGTTCCTGCCGAGAAGAGATGGCCCAGGAGGGCCTGACCAGGATGAGCCCTGTCCACGGCCACCCACCAGACCTCCTTGTCCTGCTGGTAGAGGCCACTCAGCATGCCCACAGCTAGGCCAGGACCAGAAGTCGGGTCCTGCTCATTCATATCCTCTGCAGGAGATGCTCCAGGCCCAGGACCAGCTGGACACTTCTGGGCGCAGAGGGATTGAGCCCACGTCACCCCTAGGCCGGGCTATCCTCAAGGGCAAGACACTCATGGTCCATTTAACTGTGTCCCTTGCATGGAGCTGGGGTGTTTTCTGGTTGGAAGGATCAATGACATCCTGGCTAGTGTAGGGGGACAGATTCAAGGGTTCCCACAGGAAGAGGGGCAGACTGTGGGGACCAAGTGGTCATAGGAGATTGGGACCACGGCCTGGGTGTCCCAAGAGTCAGGAGTCTTGGAGGATGATGTGTCACCAAGCTCTGATGTCCCCAATAGCCTCTGACCTCATGTCCAGTCCATTGAGGAAGAGGATCCGGTCACCTGACTTGAGGGAAGCATTGTCAGCCGGGCTCCCTGGAAGCGAGAAGAGAGCGCGGGCCGGTCAGCTGGGCAGGGCCACGCTTTGCGAGCCCATTTCACAGGAGCAAAACGGGAAAAGCAGCAAAGGACAGCCAAATTCAGGCCAGCAGATCCCACATTAGACCCAGTACTCCTCTGCTCTCAGCTGCTCTGAGCAGGGAGTGAGCCCCTGGGTGGGCATGGGAGGGTTTGGGGCACAGTGTGGACCACCTGTCAGCCCTGAGCTGTTGAAGCAGTGCAGAAACAAGGAAGGTCTTGGGAGCGGTATTTCTGCAGCATCTGTGCACCTGCTGAGAGCCCCGGTCCATACACCGGTCTCTGCCCCTCACGTAACAGTTCACGTGGCAGATTCCTCTGTGCCTTTGTCATCAGGAGAAAGTGCGTCTGCCTAGAGGGACGCATGCGTCTCCCTCAGGCTGTGAAACATGGTGTATTAATCATGCTTGTTTGTTTCTGTGCTTCCTGATGCTTTGGCATCTTGGGGGCAATGGTGACCTGGGAAGCACTGCCCTCCCAGGGCTAGCCAACTCCTATGTGGTAAATGACTGGCTCGGAAAAGTGTCTCTTGTACACAACGGATCCAGAGCCTACAACCAACCAACCTCCTTGTCTACGGGGCTCTTAAACCCCGGGCCACTGTTGCCCTGCCCTAATCACCCAGGGCCAGGCACCTCCCAAAAGGGGACAGCTCCTATGTCCCAGAGCCTGCTGAAAGCATTCAAACTCATCCTACGCCTGCTTAGCTTGCTTAACCTGCTTGGCTCGATCCTTCCCTTTCCCATGTGGCCCTGTGTGGTGGTGTGGCCCTGCATGATGTGGCATGTCCCTTCCTCTTGGGAACTGTGAAGGACACGCTCTTTTTTCCAATGGTGATTATCTCCTGATCTGTTGGCCTCACTGCACCAGGATAATAATAAAACCTGCATTTTAAACCCAAGATAGCAGTGGACTCTCACTCGGCTTTGATGGCCCTGAAGGTCAGACCAAACCCAGTACCCACCACCTGGGGAGGGGCTGGTAACTTTGCTCCTGTGGATGCAGGTTTTTTTCCTTTCTGCCTCTTTTATCAGGTGCTGCTCTAAATTTGATTTGGAAGCAAGTGGGGGAAGGGACAGATGCCTAAAGAAAATGTACTCTCATGAGGCTGTGGGGACTGTCGGGGCAAAGGGGGCAGGGGAGAAGACTTGCTAGGGAAGCAGAGTCCTTTCCCTGGGGCTGAAAAGGGGGGGGGGGAGAGGGCGATGGTGGTGATGAATCCAATCTGGCCCATCTGGAAGCTTGGGCCAGCCTGGGGTAGGAGGGCCAGTGGGGTTGTAGCCGGGGAATTCAAGATCACTGGAACGGGAGTCAGGAGATCTCAGGTTCTGGTCCTTGCTTTGCCAGAGCCTCTAAAGGCCTCAGTTTCCCCTTCTGTAAAAGCTCTTACTGAAGCATTGCTTTCGCTTCCTATGACAAGGAAGACAAGGGGGAAGCCTGGACACTGGGTTGGAGAGAACAGCACATCTAGATTTTAACATGGCCCTAGGCAAAGGATCTCCGGCTGGACCACGTGGGTGGAGCAGGAAGGTGGTGGCTCAGTTGGAAGAGACAAAGAGGAGAGATTACTCTTTTCTAGAGCACCGGCCCTTGGGCCTCTTCCCTACAACAACACTGTGCCAACAACTTAGTAGTGCACAGATCCGAGAAGAACTGGAACGCGTCAGTCATCTGAGATCCCCGTGGCGGGAGATGCTAAGGCACTAAGGCACTTTCCTGGGGGATCAGAAGATGTCCATCCCACAAATCCATGCATTGGAGGTGTGAGATGAGGAAGGGTAGACAGGACTCAGCATCAGCGGGTCCACCAGTGGGGATGTGTCACCAGGAGCAGCATGCTCAGGTGCTGGGAGGTTATGAATGCAGGTGACCCAGCCCTGGGAGGTGGTTACCAGGAGGGAAAGTTCAGTTTAGTGTCAGGAGACATTTCTGCCCCACAGAGACCTTTCACAATGGAAGACCCCCCCCCC